ATTATCAGTCCACACTCACGGCGCTCTTCTCCATCTCTTACTGCCGGGGGTACTCTAGTCAATATTTCATTGTTCATGGATGCTTATCTAATTCAAGCATATCTACCCAAGTTCCCTGAAGTTGATCACAGACTCATTAAGGGAAAGGGCACGTTCTTCACTTCTTTTACACCTGGAGTACCCACCAGTCTTGGTCAGAGGGAGTCTCAAGTAATGACTGACTGACTGACTGCGACCCCAGAGCCAAGCGAGGACCCCAGTGAGCACTAAGCAGCTACCAGGTGGCGAGATGAAATATGACAATAGCAGGCAAAAGAAATATAAAGGAATACACTGAAACAAGACTTTAGCGCTATTTTGGAATGCTTGAAATTAAAAACTGCAGACAGAGCAATCTAATGTATAGCAATTAGTAACTGAATGACTTTCTGACCAAATAAACTCTGGGTTCTATGAAGAACATCTGAAAACCAACAGTTTTTAAACAAACAGATTTATTTTAAGTGCAATAACAATTTGAGGTTACCTACAATAAAAGATACAAGGACATTAAAACGAAAAGATATTTTAAAAACATATAGAAGGTGAAAGCAAAAGTTCTAACTTTGGGTTAAACAGTTAATTTGATTGAACATTAAACATGGCACTGAGTTTCCTGCTAGCCAAAGCAAAAAAGAAAAAAAAAAATCACAAGGAGCTCTCCTTAATGGGAGGCAGTTTGACGAAGGATTGAGCAGAGGCCTTGGAGTCAGACACACCTGGGTCCCAATCCTGTACCCCCATTGGCAGCTGTGTGTCCTTGGGTAGGCCAGCACCCCCAAGTCCCGGGGGAAACGGAGGAAATAGCTTTATCTCTCAAGGCTGATGCTAGGAATAAATGAGGAGGGAACTGAGTAAGCCTAGGACAAAAATAGTATGCTCTTTACTCTCCAGCAAATCATTCAACGTAAAGCCCCTGGAAAGAGTCCAGGGCTTGGGATTCTGAACCTTACACCTACTGGGGGCAAGACCAAGCTCAGACAGTGAAGGAGCCTGCCAAGCAGAGGGTAGAGCCTCAGATCAAAGGCTATCACTTCAGAGCTGCCTGGCTGGAATATAGTCTCCAGGAGGGCAGGGATTTTGGTCTGTGTTAGTCATTGCCACTTAGGCTGTGCAACCTGGCAGAGCCTACGGTATTCAAAGTACTTGTGGTGGGGAAAGACACTGTATGGAGTTTACAGCAAGCCACAAGGGACAACTACAATATGGATCCCTAGGGTACTGGAGTAAGGGCCTGCATATATGACAGAAAACTATATACTTTCAAGAGACTGCTGCTGGACCCTGGAGAACAGGAAGTGTCTGACCATGGGTATAAAGTGAGACCTACCAAGTATTAAGGTCACATGGGCCCAAAGAAACCCACCATCAGATGGAAGTGGCGTATCTAAGATCAGCATGAGCATGGCTGGACGGCACAGGTGAGCAGCAGAAGCAGGTATGCCAGACCACCATGTTAATCACCTCTGTTACACCAAAACCTCTTCCCTCATTCACACTTCCTGTCACATGAGGGCGGGTCCCTTAAACCAATAGACAGAGGAGGAAAATGGCCAAATTTGGTTCACAGATGGGTCGGCTCGGTACATAAGTGAAAGCTGAAAATGGGCTGTGGCTGCACTACAGCTCCACTCAGGGGTGACCTTGAAAAACAGTGATGAGGGGAAATCCTCCCAATGGGCAGAGCCTGGTCAGTGCAGTTATGTATCCACTTTGTGTGAAAAGAGAAGTAGCTTGAGGTAATAACATATATGGATTCACTGGACACAGTAAATGACTAGGTTAGTTGGTCAGGGTACTGGAAGGTAGGGGACAAGGAGACCTGAGGAAGAGGCATGGGGATATAGCTAAAGGAATAGGCATGAGGTGTGACATCTATGTTTTGCTGGTTAATGTCTACCATGGATAACCACCACAGAACAGGGAGACAAAATGACTCAGCCAATTGACATCAGTCAGCCCCTACCGCTGGCCACTCCCATATTGGCACATGAACAGGGTAGCCAGGGTGGCAGGGACAGGACTATGCATGGACTCCACTCTCTAAGGCGGACCTCGCTACCAACAGCAACAGAGACCAATGATGAACCTGACAGACCACCATCCCTCAAGGAGAACCAACAGTCACTTAGTGCCAGGTAAACTATACTGGGCCCTTTTCACTCTGGAAGGGGCAAGTTATGGACCAAAATGTGTCCCTGCAAAATTCATAGGTTGAAGTCCCTAACCCTTAATGTGACTTTACTTGGTGATAAGGCCTTCAAAGAGGTAATTAAGGTTAAATGAGGTCATAAGGGTGGGGCCCTAATCCAATAGGATTGGTGTCCTTATAACAGATACCAGGAGCACACACCTGAAAAGGCCATGTGAGGACAGAACAAGAAGGTGGTTGTCTGAAAGCCAAGGAGAGCCCTCACCAGAAACCAACCCTGCTAGGACCTTGAGCTTGGACCTCTAGCCTCCAGAACACTGAGAAAAATAATTTCCCCCATTTGTGGAATCTAGGGTTCCTGCTCCTGAAACTCTAGATTCCATGGGTTTACAGAACTTGTCTCACAGGAGGGGAAAACTTCCATCTGGGGACAAAGCAAGAATGCCATTACTTTTTAAGTTACAGCAGTTGCCCAGTCATTTTGGGGTTTTGTGCCAAAAGACCAGCAGGCAAGGAAAGGAGTCATTATGCTGGCAGGAATACTTAACCTGATCATCAGGAAAAGGTATGGCTATAGGCACAAGGGGGAGCATATGTGTAGCACCCAGGTGATCACCTGGGCATTGCCTCGTACTCCCTTGCCCAATTTTTACAGTAAATGGACAAATGCAGCAGACACAGCCTGAGAAGGGCCTAGTGACCAGGGACTCAGACCCCACAGGGATGAGGGTATGTGTCACTTCACTAAGTAAGCCTTTCAGCCAAGGTGAGGGGACTCTTGAATGGACACTAGAGAAGGGAGACAATGATCAGTATGCCCTTGAGACCAGCTTCAGCAGAAGGGGATGTAGGTTGTCCTGCTAACCTTCCTTGTCAATGTTGCTCCCAGGAAGAGTGCCACTGGAATCTTGGAGGAGGTGCTCCAAGAACTTAGGTAAAACAAGAAGATCCAAGCAGCGTGAGGGTTAGATGCTGTGGTCTGCTGCCTAGATCCCCCACCTCCCTGAGGACTGAAGCTCTCAATCTTCCCACTGCTGGGGTGTTGGTACCTGACAGTTCTAAAGGGACACTCCCTCAGTGATGGGGTGCACCTTTGGAGAGCCAGTTGGCCTAAGACCTGCAATCTGTACCAATGACTTGTTGGCAGAGGTTTACAGTTCAGCTCCTTGTCTGAATCTGGGACAACGTGGAAGGGCTCTGCCAACGCCACAGCTCTCTGTAAGATTAGCTCAGGCCTTCTTTGTAATTGTTGTTCAAAGTCTCCCTCTGTCCTTCATCACCACTCCCCCAAGATGCGGATCCTGGCAGCATTCTCTGATAAACTTCATACATAAAAATCTGCCTGGGGACACCAAGCTGAGAAATACAACTTTTCTGGCTTGCTTATAAGCAAAAGATCCATACTTATGTAATGGGGAATCTCCTCTCAGGTCTCCCAAAGGTATTTTAGTCAATGTATTTCCCTCAAATCTGCTCTTCTGATGTTGGTGGAAATGGTGCTGTCTATCCTATTATCTAAGCCAGGAGCCCTTCTTTCTCTCCTTTATAGCTCTGTCCATCCTACCTGAAAATATTTACACTCACCACTACTCAGTTTTTCGGATACTGATCACTCTGAGTTCTCATGATTTTCATTCTTCCCTCTGTTTCCTTGAAGGATCTACCTCCTCCTCCCGCTAAATACAAGGCTTAGTCTACACCCTACGTTCATCTTGGATGTAATTCTCTTACAGACCTCATCTAGCACTTTGCTTTTATCTCTCAACCCTACAAAGTTGACTCTGTGATCTACACTTCCAGCTTTGACCTCTCTAAGAGAGATGTCTGTCCTCCATATTTAACTACATCATGGGTATGGTATCTTTACTGTATGTTCCAGAGTCACCTCAAATTCAAATACATCTGAAGGGAACAACCTTTGTGTCTCTCTTTCACCTGTAGACTTAGCCCATTGATAAAGGCCCCCCTTCTTCCCACCCCAGATATAAACTCTGGGACCCACATCTCCAATGGGACACTAGGATGTCACATCTGATTTCACTTCTCCAGACCATTGTGAGGCCTGTAGACTACTTCTCCCACCCAATGCACACAGGAGACAGGGAGATGGCAAGAGACAACAGCAGTCTCTCATACCCCAGAGGGTAAAGAAGATGGAGACAAGAAATGAAGAGTTCAGTGTGCTGGATCACAGAAGCGACAAAGAGAGATCAGGTATGAGGTTTTAGCCTGACATACTGTAACCCTTGAAAGACAAGTGTGTTTGGATACAGCAGTTTTTGTACATAAATGCTCAATATTTCCTGATGATTAATGACAAGGCTAGGAAAACACAACATTTGTTTGATTTACTCATTGGTTGTTCCCTTGAAAATTTTCTTACCTTCATATTCTCTCCATTTCAACCAAGGAAAATCAAGAAGTTTTACACTTGCTCTTCACTCCAGAGCACATGATAATAAGCATTTTAACAGGAAGACACTGCGGCTTTTACAAGATTATAAAAACAGATAAATATCACGTCTTGCTAACTAGGTTGGTGTTTCTCTAAGAAATAATGTTTATCTAATAGAAGCGGGACAAGAATGTCCAGTTTGACCAGTCTTTCAGCTACAATTTATTTTTTTACCTTTAAAAAAAAATGAAAAGCCACTATCAGAGACCTACACTCTATTTGGAAACATATCAAAATATCCACATTGCAATGCACAGGAATAAAATGTAGTCTCTACCACACATACAGCCACAGAGGAAAAGTTTACTCAGGCCACTCAGTATTTTTGAGTTTTTAATTATTATTATTATTTACCTGCTGCTGTCTTTGTCGCCTCGCTTGTGCAAACTGAGAGAGCATCAGCTGCCGATCAAGCAGCTCCATTCTTTGCTGTCTCTGAATGTCTACTGTGGCCCCCATCCCAATTCTGGCTTCGGTGGCCGGTTCTGAAGATGCGAAGATGGGCTCAAGTGTCCAAGAAAAGAACTTTGCCATCCAGCTGGGGATGCAGAGCACCTGATGAACTCGTAACACGTTGCTGTTGTAGCAGATACCAGAAACCTAAAAGAAAAAAGTCCAACTGGATTGTTTAAATGTAATAAAAGTTTAAAGAACATATTTTCCATAGAAATCAATAACCAAAAAATACTTCTGATGGTATTTTTCTTCATTCTAGCAGTGTTGGGTGATAATGAAAACTCCTACCAAGTTGCAGAATACTAAGCAGTACAAATCAACAAAAAACTTAATTTACTCATTAAACAAATTTGTTTTTATTAAGTTAGAAGAGATAGCAAAATCCTAACTACTTAACACTGAAAGTACTGGTAAAATATTTAAAAAACAATGCTTTCATTTTAGAAAAGCCATAAAATATCTGATTATCAAAACACTTTCACACTAACTCTGTGGTTACTCTTATTGGCAGATGGCCACTGGAGACAGAGAGTGGCAGAAAACAACTTTGATGTTCAATGATGTAATCTAGCCATATAATAAATTTGCCAGAAAATAAAAACAATCTAGAATTTACATAGTGTTTTAATACATTTTTCAAGTATTGATTTTTCTAGGTTTTTAAATCCTGGCCAACAGTTAGCAATTAACAATTCTGTTTATAAACAAGCCTATTTTTCATCTTTAAGGTAATTTATATGGTAAGAGAAGTCTAAAGACTCTCTGTGGTCTTCTAGGTAAAAATAAGTATGGCTATTCTTTTGTAAAAAAATCTTTAATTTTGTGAATTTGATTCTTAGAGTAAGAAATTATTCATACCAAATTAGAGCATATTTGAAAACTTTCCGTCTAACAGGAGAAGAGTAGACTTTAACATTCTATTAATAACATTCAAATTAATTAATTAGGCAAGAATTTATTGAGCACCTGCTATAGACCAGGCACTTGGAATATAGCCAAGACAACATAAACAGGTCCTATCTCACAGAGGTAACAGGTCAATAGGAATAACAGAGAATAAACACATAAACATGCAGAACAATTCTCGACAAGTTCTATGAAGAAAATAAAACAAACTGACTTGGAGCAGGGACTTTCTTTAGGTTGGATGGTCAGGGAAGCTTTGGAGGAAGTGACACGAGTGAAGATATTAAGGATGACGGGGTGCCAGAGATTTGAAGAATTGGAGGAAGAGCATTTCAGGCAGGGAAAACAGCAAATGCAATGCAGGAATGAGTTTGGGAGCATCTATGAGAAATCTTAAGTTGAGCTATCAAGTGAGTAGTTGGATATACAAATCTGGAACTCAAGGGAAAAGTTAGCAGAGATAAAGATTTTGGAGTCACTGGATTAGATGGTGTTTAAAACAATGGGACTAGATGAGACAATATGGGGGTTGGGGACATATGATAGAAGTGAAAAGAGGACTTAGGATTGAACCCAGGGGTACACCAATATTTTGTGGATGGACAGAGTAGGAAAAGTCAGTAAAGAAATCTGAGAAGGGGCTGCCAGTGAACAGAAGGAAAACTGAAGCTAAGAGAACAGTGTTTTAAAGATGGGAATGGTCAGCTATGTCTAATGCAGCTCAGAATTCAAGTAATATAGAGAAAGGAAAACAACCATTGGATTTGGCAAAATGGATGCCTTTGATGACCTTATAGGAACAGTTTCGGCGCAGCAGTAGGAGCAAAGACAGACTACAGCAGGCTGAAGAGTGAATGGTGGAAGACTTTTGGTTTTAAATAATTTCCATACCGCTTCTCTTAAAAATGGTGCAAAACAACAAAGAAAACGAAAACAGAAATAAACTCCACATTCAGTGAAACTAGAAAGCGAAGAGAAGCAGAATATGCCACACCAAAATATGCCACTTTGGCATAATGGTTATTTTAAATTAAAGTTACTTGAGAAACAGCTGGTACAAGAGGGACACTCTGACCCTCCTTAGCTCTCCTGAAAGCAGGAAATAAATTGCCCATGTGAAGGTATCCTCCTCGTACGAGGAGGGTAAAAGGCATTCTTACTGCCAGAGAGAGAATTCAAGGCCAGAAGGCTGCATAAACAAGTCTTGTTACTTCCTCACTAACTTACTACCCTAAGCCTGACCTTCTTCTCTTTCCAATTCTTCACAAATTTATTGTTTCTTTGTCTAAAAGGTATAAAACCTGCCTGCTTTGGTCACTTCTTTGAGCCTCATATCTTTGGGGCTCCTGTACATATGAAATTAAATTCATTTTTCTGCTGTTCATTTTTCTTATGTCTATTTAATTATTAGATCAGCGAAAGAACATAGAAAAGAAGAAGAAACAAATTTTCCTTCCCTACAAAAGCATCTGTAATCCTGAAACACACTAAGAAACTGGGAAATACATTGAGTAATTAGAAATCACTTAGTATATGAGAAGAAGGGTAAGTCCAAATGCTGGCAGAGTCCCCTGGAGCTCAGGTAGGTTCAGGGTCTATAGGCACCAGGTACTGGGGATAGCAGGAGTGAAGTGGCGGATTACTAAACTCTGTGTAAGAAGCAACCTGAATTCCTTCCTGCACCCAGCATGACCCACATCTCCTCTCCTCTTCTCTACAGTGAGAAGGTAAAAAGCTCTGCATGGCATGGCTCAAAGAGGCTCTGAAGGGGGTAGAACAGGCCCAGAGGGGAGGCCTGGGGCTCTACACAGGCAGATTCCATTCAGACAGGGAGGCGCTCCAGTATATGTCTCATAGAGCTTCCGGGAGAAGACAACAGAGAGAATATGGGGAGAGGGAGACAATATTTCAAGAGATAATGGCTGAGAGTTTTCCAGAATTAATAAAGAATATAAATCCTCAGGTTGAAAATGCAAGAGTCCCAAGAAGGATAATAAAATGAAATTTATCTCTAGATCTATTGCCGTGAAACAAAGAAAGAAATCCTTAAGAGTAACCAGAGATAAATGCAGACTGCCTAGAAAGGAAAAACAATTAACTATCAGCAGATAACAACAACAAAAACTATGAGATACTTAGGAATAAACTGAATAAAAAATATGTAAGGCCTTTATAGAGAAAACTAAAAAACTATAATAAAGGAAAATTTTTAAAAACCTAGAAACAAATAAAGATATCACATGCATGAACGGGAAGATACAAAATAGTTAAGATACCAATTTTCACCAAATTAATATATAAATTCAAAATAATTCAAAATAAAATCTTAGGGTTTTTGTTGGAACTTAAACGTTAATCCTAAAATTCATATAAAATGTTTAAGGTTTAAACTTTAAAAACAAAATGTTGGGAAAAGGAAGCCAGACACAGAAGATTGCATATATTATGATTCCACTTTTGTAAATGGATCATTCTGAATTACAAATCAAGTGAAAAAATCGTAAAGCAAAGCATGAAGGTGATGATCAGAGATCCCAAGAGAGCAGTCACGGGATGGGGGGGGGCCGAGGGGTTCTAGGGCTGGCAATGCTCTGACCTGCGTGGGCTTTTAGGGGTGTGTTCACTTTACAGTGATTGGTTCAGCTTCATGACATTTATAGTTCATGCACATTTTGCTATGTGTTATATATCACAATGAAAAGATTTAAAAATGAAGAATAAAGGATCCAGAATAGCCAAGGTAATTTTAAAGAAACATAATAAACCCTATCAGATTTCAAGATATGCTATAAAGTTTGAGTAAATAAAATAGTGTGGTCTTTATGTAGAGCTACTCAAATAGACCTAAAGAACAAGAGCATAGAAACAGACTCGTGAGTACAAGGGCACCTGGTATACAGCATAAAAGGGTAAATTAGAGGGAAAAGCATACACAAACTATGCGTAAGGATAAAGACAAAACAGGTCCCCATTCCTGATACCATACAGAAACTCCCAACAGATTAAGGACACAAACATAATTTAGAGAACTGTCAATCTTTCTGCACAAAATACTGAAGGAAGGAACATCTTTTTGGCATTGGGATGGGATTCGTAAATAAGAAATATAAAGCACAAACCATAAAAGAAAACATACATTTATTTACTTTACAATTTAAAAGCTACATTACACCAAAAGTTATCATAAATGAAGTGAAAAGACAAGTAAGAGCCTGGAACAAGGTATTTAGAATTCTCCTAGTCAATAGAGTTCAGAACATATAAAGAAACTCTATAAATTTGTAAGAAAATGACAATCAACCCAATTTACAAAGTAGATGAAAAGACAATTTCAGAAGAGGAAATTCAAATGGTCAGCAAACATCTGAACAGATGTTTATCCTCATTCATTTTTAGGGAAATGCAATCTAAAATGAACAATGTTAAAATATAACAATAATTGGCAAAAACGGAAAAATCTGGTATGAGGTTTTGGTGAGGATGAGGCGAACTGAGAACTCTCACCCAATCCTAAGGGAAGGTAAAGGGCTACAGGCCTGCTGGAGAGCCATTCGAGGATGCCTAGCCGAGCTGAAGGGTGCTTTAGGGAGCACTCGATTGCAATGCTGTATGTGACAGCTAGGAAATGGAAACAAAGTGTCCCAAGTAGAGGAAGGGCTAATGAGTGGTATTCCATCCAATGGAATACCAAACAGTAATTAAAATAAATTCAGTGTACATGTATGAACATGTTTTTTAAAAGGTATCATATATTGTATTCATCTTTTTGCAAAATTTCAAAACACAAAATAATAGCAGAGACTGTTAGTGGGCACATACTTACGTAGTAAGCAGAGAACCATGGAGAGCGGTTTCTTCTACAGGAGATGACAGGGAGGGAAGGAGAGGAATGGAGAGGTAGCACTATTGGTAACCAGCATTTTTTTTTTAGCAAAGAAAGAGATGGGAAATAAATATGGAAAAAAAATACATAATGAATTGGAGGCAAGGAAGTAGATCCTTTTCGGAAGATCTGAGTAGGAAGGAAAACAGAAAATGGGGCCATATAATGCCAAAGTTACACTCATGTAGCTGAAGATAGTAAAATGTTGTTATAAACATAGCAACATATGAGAAAATTGATCAAATCAGAACTGAGAGATTTGAATTAAGGGGAAAATTACACATTTTTATTTTTTAGTCTCAAAGTATCCAAGTGTGATTGTGAACTTGTCCATTTCTCCCTTTAGTTCTGTTTG